GTGGTGTATAGAGCCAAAGATGTTAGAATTGTGTCAATGTCCCAATATTTCTGGACCTGACTGTAGCTTGCTTATATTCTAAGACAGTGTTTCTTAAACTTTTGCAATCAGAGATCAATAAATAAAAATTTGGAAAATGTGCGGACCATGCAATGAAACAAATGCCTCCCTTCCCCCTTTTGTTTTTAAGAGGATGGGAGATCCATTTTGGTGAATAAGATAATTACACAGTGGTGCATTTGTGTGTTCCTTCCTATCCCCTCTGTTCTGAGGGCTTTTTGAAACTAAATTCTATACCAAAAATTTAATCCAAAATTAAGCATCTATTTATCACTTGAATAACTTTATATGCTCTATACAATAACAACTCTTAACACCAACTTGCTAGTCAAAAGGGCTTTTCAACAGAAATCACTTAGTACTAAAGAGCTGGGGGGTGAGTGGATCTCCAGCACAATGTAGCCCCATTCTTAGATATTCGTTATCATATTTTCTACTTGGGCTTTTCTTTTTGGAGTATGTGTAAGATCAGAGTTCCACTTAGCACAAAGCATCTGGACTTGCAGTTGAGACCTGCTCACTATTGTCAGGTTTCTGAATATTTGTACTTAACACTGATTTGTACTATCTTTTGTAAGCTTCAATGAACCACTGCTCCATCTGAATAGCCGACTGACAGCAGATGTGGGGAGATGATATGGAAGCAAGGAGGCTCTTCTCAGCTAGCTGTGTGTGTCAGGAAGCAGATCCCAACTGGTGAGCAGGTTCTGGCCCATGAATGTGGGGATGCTGTGGAAGACCACCCAATGGATCTCCAAAATAACACTTGGAGTGTCACTACTCTAAAATCTAACAGAAATGCCCCCCACACTCTGCTGTACTGAACTGGTTTGGAAAAAGCATTATTGGTATATTTTATAAATTTAATTGTTAGCCGCGTTGAGTGCTGTGTGTAGGAGAAATGCATTAGAAGAACAGAATATTAACAGATTAACTGTATCTGACACTATTTTTGAAGCACGAAGGTTATATTCTTTAGTTGCTTTTAAAGGACCTAAATGACAATATTAATTCTAGCAGGGCTTCAGATAACATACAAGAGAGTAAATTGC